TGCTGATCTCAATAGTATTCAGTGTGCGTTTCCATTTTAAGTTCAAAGAACATGTAGATAATCAATAATTTTCCAACTATCTACTTGTCAAATTTGTCTTTAATCTGACAAAACTGTTCAATCGCCAATATTCAATTGATCTCTCTCTCCTCATTTTCTCATTTTCCCTCATTTTCCCTTCTTTTCCCTTCTTTTCCCTTCTTTTTCAAAAACATATCGAGATCCCATAACTCTTAGTCGATCCCATTACGACAGGTCGTAATTTGTACAAAAGTGGAAAAGAATGGGAGAGTCAGTTGGGGAGAAACATAATCCTTTCTCCTTCTTGGCCTCAGATCTCGTGTCCTCAGATCTCTTTCCCCTTTTCCCCAAAAAAACTTGTTGTAATATTCGTTTTTCTTTTCCATCGACCTTTTTTTTCTTTTATCTTTCCATTTTTTTTTGATACAAATCATTTGAAATTTCGATTCTACTTATCAATTTCCTCAATGTTTTCCATTTTGCAGCTTTGTCAACAAGTAGATAAGAGCTATTTTTGAAACAAACGCAAAGATTAGTCATTTGTTTGTGACTGATTTAAAAAGTTTCTAGCTTTTTCACCTGTAACTATTGATGGAAAAGTTTTCAGTTATTTTCGGCTAAAAGCTAAAAGCTAAAAGTTAAAAAGCTCAAATTCTTAATCACTGTCTAGCTAGATTGTCAATAAATTTCCAATAAAATGAGTTTTGATTGTTCTGATTTATATACAGACTTAATGGCATCCAACTTGATCTATAGATCAGTTCAGTTTCCATGCAAAAACATCAATTCTTTCCCAAACTAATGACCACCACTCGACGGACAGTTGACTATCTAATAGATGGGAATAGAAAGAATCAGAGTCTATTGAAAGAGTCGACAGACCGCCCGCCGTGGATGAATGCATGGTGAATGGTCATTTCATTTCGACCATTCACCCATTCAATTTGTGTCCCCTTTTGAACTCTTTTAATTGTATCAGCTATTGATTGATACCAGCTATTGATTGATCGATTCTATTTTCTTTCTAGAACTTTCAGGAAATTGTTTGGGTTTTGAAAGATCGGGAATTTTGGCAAAAACGAATATTCGTTAGTTCTAGATTAGCTTAATGAGTATTGAATTTGGAGTATTGAACCATAAGCACTTTATTATCTTCTTTCTCCAATCAACTCTCTAGCTATTTAGCCGGGAATTCCCGCAAAAATGCATGGGGTCACTTGGGAGAAATTTGCATACATAATTTAGAATGAAAGAGCGCTATAGGGAATATGGGATATTCAGGGAAAGCTGAAAATTTAAACGTATTTCAATGAACTATAAGTGTCTTTAATTCTAAATATTTTCCAATACAATATCCTAATCTAATTTCTGCACCAGCTACATTTTTTGCTATAGTTTCTGACTTGTAAACTAGACATGGGCTTTTTCTAGAAAAAGAGTCAGTTCTACGTTTTGCTCTTGCTCTTAAAAAGCTATTGTTTTTTAAAGCCTGGATACAATGCTATTTCGAGCTTTAGAAAACAAGCTGTTTGCTGTTTGCTAAAACGTGGGACATTTTCTACAAAAGGCCCATGTATTTTGTGAACCTTTAACCCTGGAAAGTCAACTTATTGCCTCTAGAACTTGTTGATTTTTCCCATTCCTATCCCAAAAATGCAATCAGAAAAACTGCAAACTTAAACAGCAAATTTTACAATTTGTTATCTAAAGGTTAAAGGTTATCTAAGAGCTAAAGACTGAACTATTCTTTGAACGCTTCTTTGACCCTAAAGTCTTGTCTATGTCACTCAATAACTTGTTGCAATCGTTCCCATTCTTGTACTACCTTTCAAAAATGCAATCGGAGAGGCTGTCAGCAAACTCTTCTCCATTCAAGGGTCAGTACACCCCTTTTCCCAATCCCCGATATGGGGTGTGCTGTGGTGGCACTTGAGAGAGGTCCTCGTCGATTGGTACACGAGAAAAGATAAGAGAGAAATGAGAAAGAGTAAGGATTAAGGAGAAGGTTAAGAGAAAATGAGAAGAATGAGAAGAAAGAGAAGAAAGACGAGGGGAAAGGGAATGGGCAATGCAACATCGATCCGAGGACCCCTTAAGGGAAAAGGGGGTGAGTAGAGAGCGAAATGAAAAGGAGAGGGAAAAGCCGCTTCTCTTCGAGAGAAAGAAGGCAGACCTCAGTCTCTACCCACTATACACCATGGGACCCCCACGTGTCTGTGAGAGAGAAGCTCCACCATTCTTCTTCTCTATGAGAGAGAAGCTCCACCATTCTTCTTTCATCTGAATATTGCGGGAGCTTTCTCTTCAAATATTTGGCTAATATTTTTGATTTTAACCTGAAACCTTTTCCTCAAGGCTAGCCATTTCTTGTTCAGTTTTTAGCTTTAGAGTTTTCAGCAACTATCAGAAGTGACTTGACTGAAAGCACAATTCTCCAAGGTTATCTCATCATCAATTCACTCTGACTATGAGATTATAGAAACTTGCTTTGTTTGGAGACTTTAGCCTTGCTTTTTCCTTACTTTGCTTGACTTCAAATATCAAGAAGTTGCTTTCAAGCTGATTTAATCTGAATACTGCAGGAATCTAGCAGTTCTCAAGCTTTTTGCATATCTAAACAAATCTAGATCTTTACTTTGAAATCTTCCAACTGATGTTTGCAGTATAGTTTTAAGAATTACCCTTGAGATCTGCCTTGTCATCCTATTTTCTTCACCCAACCCAATCTAAGTGAGCCATTTTGCTATCTTGATACAAAATGGCTCACGTTGTCTACCAGTTCTCAAGCTTTTTATCCAAAAAGTCTAGATCTTTTCATGGTATACTTCAAGCTTTATACAACAAAATTACATATTCATAAGACTGAAAACATTTCCCCATCACTAACCCAATCAAAATCACCTCAACAACCCACTCGATCATCCCCAAAATGTAACCAGTTCTTTTACAATCATCTCGATATTCTGTATAACCCGTTTCCCCCTTTTCCCCCACTCTCGCATTCGATCGAAATCCCCTTTTCGTCCGTTTCTCATAATACCTAATTCCCCAGTAATTGCCACCCAACGTTTTGTCGATAACAAAACCTTTTTAAACTACCATCTGTTAGAAAATACAAGGGTTTTTCTGACTTTTATGACTTTTTGTAGGTCGTTAAGGTATTAAGTTTAAAGTTAAAAGATTAAAATCTCTATTCAAAATTCAATTTTTGTTTTATAAATCCTTTTATTAAACTTTAATTTATAATCCTTTAAACTACCATCTGTTAGAAACTAAAAGGGTTTTTCTGACTTTTATGACTTTTTTTAGGTCGCTAAGGTATTAAATTTAAAGTTAAAAGATTAAAATCTCTATCCAAAATTTAATTTTTGTTTTATAAATCCTTTTCCATAACTTGATCAATCAATTTTTCTTCATCATTTCTCGTTTTTTCGTTTTTTTCTTTTTCTCCAACAAAAACGTGATCTACTGAAAAATGAGTGATCGTAAATTTGCGGATGACGGTGATGGATCAGAAACAGTCAGACTGAGAAGTCATGCTGGATTTGTGGAAAAGAAAAAAAGTCGAAAGAAAATGAAAAATTGAACGAAAGTTTGAGAAGAAAACATGGAAATGAGAGAGAGAAATTCTTGGTTTTGATGATAATCGATTTCTCTCTCGATTCGAGCCAAGGAAATTAGCTTTTTTCAAAGTTTTGAGAGCTTTCTTTGATGTAAAGGCTGTGATTTTTGTATATTTATTATCTTTATTATCTTTTTCCTCACTAAACTCACCGTATTTGACCTCGCCGATAACCTTCATGATCTCATTTTTTCTCTGATCTGATAACAGATCTACATAGTCATTATTTATCTTTCAAATACTAGATTTTGAGTAGTCAGTTTGATAGAAATTGAAATTTTACTTAAAGAAATCTTAAAGTAGCATAGTTTTTTTCTCTAAAACAAAATTTCCAAAGAAAAATCAAGTCAAATTGAGCGATTCTAAAGTCTTTCCAGATTTTAATCAAATTCTAAAGACTCTAGAATACTCTCACGATTTTTCATAGCTGAAAATTCACACGAGTGCTAATCTTTAACACAAGGAAAGCTTGTTCACTCATTGTCCTTAAAAATTAGCTGACAATTAGTTGAAAGGTTGAGCTTCCTAAATAGAAAAGTTCCTAAATAGTTTCCTGTTTACTATTTCCAAGCTTTTCTATAACTACTTAGCTATTTCTATAACAATTTTCATTTCATTTCATAACCTAGGCTTGATAAGACCAACCCAGAATCATTCAAAAAACAGGTTAATGTTTTGTGTCAGACATACAGAGTCTCGAAGGAAGGGGAGAACCCCCAGATCTGGAGCCTGTCCTTTTCTCTTTGTACATCTCTTTTCTTTTCTCATCGAACCGGACCGAGCCTGTCCTGTCCACCCATTTTTCCACAAACCAGCCGCCAACAAGCTATGAAATCATCATCGACCTCGTTTTTTTGGCTTCTTTTTGATTTTGGATCAATAGTTCAAGTCAATATCAATAGACTTTGATTTGGGCTTAAAATTACTTTAAGACTTACTTTAGTATCTTTTTTATCGTGATTTATCTTTGAGTACTTGAGTAATACAGAACTTTTTGAAATTCGAGATATAATAAATCAAAAATCGGTTAAGAGATGAGATTGTCTCAAAAATTTGGCTTATTTTGGAATAATTATACGGATTTTCTAAGCTTTTTTGCTTTTTTGACGGCATTTGAAGATATTTAGTCACTTAAAAGCTTTTGTTTAATCAAAATATTATAATATTTCACTCATAGTCCTTAAAAAGACTGCTCAATGTCAGCTTTGTTATTCGATTCATGTCATTTGCCTGATAATCTCTTAGTAATCTTTGAATCAGCTCTTATTCTTGATAATCTAATTGCCAACTAATTTCTTTTCCTTTCCTTTTATGCTTTACTTGTTCTCCTTTCTTTTCTCATTCCACAAATTTCAAGATGCCTCGAAAAAAGAACCTCGACGGTACGCCAATCCCCCCGAAACCCCGTGTCCGCAAGAAGAAGGACACTCAAGCACAAGTGACGAATGTTGAGCCAAAGATGGAGTCTGTCTACGATCAACAGGCGATGGGAATGGGCCAACAAATGGGAATGGCACCGATGGGGATGGGGATGGTAATGGAGGACCCGGGAATGTACGGAGCGCCGCCACCCGAGTACGCATATTATGGACAACCGCCGGCACATTTCGGCTCTCCCGATCCCTCGTCACCGTATGTGGGAATGCCGACGCAGAGCTCTACTCCACAGCCACCACATCCACAAGCTGTCACACCGAATCATATGATGTAAGGCTGTACAAAAGCTTCAAAGTAAGCTAGGCTAGTAAGCTAGCCAGCTAGGCTTCAAAGTCAGATGAATTAGGATTCAAAATTGAGGAATTATTGGGTATAGTGATAGTTTCTACTTGCAGAATCTCTGTTTGATAATTTAGATATAAAAATATTGCTCAAAATCAGTACAATACATAAGCTCAATCTAATTTCTCTTCCTATAATTGTTCCGATCAAAAATTTCAAGCAAGCCTTTACTCAAATCCACGTGTTGCCAGGTTGCGGTGGTTTTTTTTGCAAAAATGCTGAAAAACGTGCCAAAACCACGCTTCAGCGCTTCATCTGAGTGTGGGGATATTTAAGAACCGAAATGCATGAAGATCATGAAAGATTTGAGAAAAGAAAAGAGAAGAAGGGCAGGTGCAAAGTGCGATAAATTGAGCATATGGCCGGCATTACGCTCGGAAGGATTTGACAAGAAATTGGAAAAATGAAGAAAGAAAAGGGGATCGAGATGTACAAGGGAATAACATATAGGACATAAAAATTGATGGAAGATGGGGGAAATGGTTGAGGGGAAAGAAAAAGGATGGTATACTTTCTAAAAGGCATCGTAACCTTGTCTGACCTTGTCTTCGGTAGCCAAGCTAATACCAGTGAGCGAAAGGAGTTGATAATATTGAATTGATTCAGGATGCGTGGAATGCCCGGCCCAGCTCCCCCACAAATGCCTCCAATCCCAGCCGCTTCTCTTCTCGAGTATCGGATACATGACATCAACCGGAGACTTTTCATCTTCAACAATAGTGGGGTAAGTGAATTGAACTTTAGATAATAAAGATAATAAAGATACTAAAGATCTAAAAGATAAAATTCTATTTGTTATGTAGATTTGATCTTTATTTATATGCTTAGCTTTCATTTAAATGCATTTACAGCCATAGAAACTAGTGTTTAAACGACTGTGAATCAAGCCAAAAAACTTCAATAAACAATTACCGTTTGAGTTTAGCAGTAACGGCTTCACTTGGTAAATGTTTATCTTTTCAGATTAATGAAAAAGATCATCAACAATGGTGGGACGCTTTCGCGCACGAGTTTTTCGATGATGATGCTAAGATCACGTTTATGCTTTTCGATGAGGCCACACAGAAACCAGAGAAATTCAGTGAGTTAAGCAATATTTGAAAAGCAAAGAACGTACCGTAAATACTGTAATAGTACCCCACCGCCCTCGTACAGTCGCGTAGTCGCAAAAGTTTTTTAGTATTTCATTTTTTTCAAAGCCCGTACTTTCAAAAGGTGCCCGTCTTTGGTATCAAAAAATAGCTGAAATTCAGGGCTATTTTTTGATACCTAAGCGCGCATTATAGCATAAAACAGTGTCGAGAAAAACTCGTTCAAAGCTAGACTACCCAACACTCCGCACCGTCATTATGGGGCGGGGTACTATTACAGTATTTACGGTAATAAATATTTTTAAGCATTGTATATTCCCTAGAAAACCAGATCGATTTTATTTCGTTTCTAAATCTGAATCTAATCCAAGAAATTCCAGTAATTGGCCGGACGCTGATCCCTCGGTATTTTCGATCAATTTTCGAGTCGGGTGTTCGAGAATTATATTATGTGTTGCGATCACAATCCCTTGAACGACACACGCAAATGGGACCGATTTTTGAGTGTGAGAACATGTTGGTGGTCAACAAACAGGATCGGCCACAGAGCGAGGTTTGTGAGGCTGAACTGTCGCTAGTTCAATATCTCTATGCTAAACTTGGCTACACAAATCCATTGATTCAACTCAAGAAACCCAAAGAAAGCCATTCTTTCGTTGTCTTTTCCTTTTCTTATCCTTTTCCCTCAAGTTTCCCCAGGGGAATCGATGGTGGTCCCTTTAATTGGCAAAATTAAGCTCGTTCTCGGTGAGAGAGGAAAGGAGTGTTTCGAAGGGGGAATTCTGGAAAGAGAAAAGAAAAGAAGAAAGGCCTAAACGGGGAAAATCGTCTTTAAGGATAACTATTTGAAAGTGAAGAACTTTAAATGGGTAAAGTTATGGATAAATGACGCATAGTGAACTAAGTACGGCAAATACGAATTGTAAGTACAGTTTTGGTGTCTACAGTTCGTAAAATAACAAGTGAATAACTTAAATTTTTAACTGAATTAAAAATATTCAGCTAAATAGTTTCATTGCGGAGTACTGTAGCTTAAAGATGTTCATTTAGCTCCAGCAAAGCTCTTGTTTGGCTCCAGTAGAGCTGTTCAATTTTCGGTTTAATTATCGATAGGTGTACAACAGAAAAACGAAATTTGATCACTTCAACGACTACTTTACAAGATTTCTTGCTAAAAGAAGATAGAATTTTTCAAGTCCTATCTAAAAACTGCTAAAAAAAGTAGCTGTTAAAGTAGGGAAATCCCTTTTTCCGTTGTACATCTATCGATAATCAAACGGAAAATTGAACAGCTTTACTGGAGCTAAACAAGAGTTCAAGACAAGTATCAGGTTTTGATTAAACAAAAATTGATATTCAAAATCCCATCTTTCTTTTCTATCAATCATTTCGCTGAGTTCAAAGTAAAAATCTGAAGATGGGTATCTCTTGGTCATGAAAAAGAAATGAGGATCATATGTCCCAAAAGGAGAATCTCTTTGTAATTACCGCATTTGCATACAAGGGGGTGCTTTGGGTAGAAGAGAAGGCGCTATTCAGGAAATATCGGGGAATTTTAGAGAAAAGGGAAAGAGAAAGCTTTCTTGAGGGGATGAAATGACGAATTGGGGTGTGGAAAATATGGACATACGGGTGATTGATGAAAAATCGACACCCTGGAGACAGAGAATGGAAGAATGGGAAGAATGGGAAGAATTCGGGTTTACTTTAGTTTACCTTATCATAAGAGAATCGGTGAAGTTAAAAATCAAAAATTCTGAGAAAACAATGGGTAAAGTGATAATTTTAAACTCGGAAGAAAGGTTTAAACTCGATTTTTCCCAATTTACAAACTACAAAACCTACTTATTCGACCATGAAACCAATATAAGTATAAAAATAAGGAAATCTCATCTTTCAGGTGCACACTGAATGCAAATTCACTATCGAGTTCTCCCATTTTGATGAAATGTACAATTATCGGATACGGCATTGGACAATGGAAATGGGGAATACTCAAGAATATCTCTTCGATGAACAGACAAAGGTTGGGATTCAAAAAAGCAATAAGCAAAGTAAAATCTATCTAGAATAGACTAGATATCTAAATATTGAAATAGAGCCAAAACTAATTCATCTAGACCCTATTTCTGATAATCTCATTCATTTTTTAGGAGTACATGTTGTGTCCCCGAGACCAAGAAAAGCCGAAATCTCCAATTGCTCGTTGCGGCTTGCCAGTGATGACGATTCATTACATCAAGTTGTGTTCAATTCTTGAGCCAATGTCTTTGTTGATGGGTTATGCGAAAGCCAATGTTGTGAGTTTTTAAGAATCTATTAAAGCTTCAAATTCAAATTCTCATTTAAACTGCTCGTTTCAGAGTCAACAACCCTGGGAAATCCTCCGAACGGCCGCTTTTCAACATCACACGAGCCAGAGGGAGCGCGAGAAACAAATGGCAATGCACACTCAAATGGGTAAGCTTTTAATGTCTAGAAATCAGCTTTTTCCGAATGAAATGAGTTGGATCTCATTTTTGAGGATTATTTTTACAGTTTTTGGGACTTTTACTTTTCGATTTTAGGACAACCTGGCCTCATGGCTCCCCCACTTGAAGAAAAGCCGAAACCCGCTCGAAAACGACAGCGAAAACCTCCGGCAAACCCAAAAACGAAGAAAGGAGCAACTGCCAGTCCAGTTCCACCCAATAACGCTTTCCCGCAAAATCCGATGCAACCCGGAAATGTGAGTTTATTAAAAAAGATAGAGTCAAGATAGTTTAAGCTTTATAAATTTCCTAATAATCTAATAAACTTTATAACTTTCTAATCAAACATCTGGATTTATATAATTCAATTTCAGTTTCCAACGATGGGTTTCCACGAGGTGATGGTGGTTGGTGAACCGTCGATGATGGGCGGAGATTATGGAGAGGAAGATGAGAGGACGATAAGGTATCCATTTTAAGACTAAATCTACTGTTGTTGCTGTTATCTACAATAGCTTTAGAATCTAATTAAATAATTTTCAGCCGAGTCGAGAACACCCAGTACGACCCGAATGCGCTGCAGATGCAGCAACAGGTGAGAGTTTTTCATGAAGACAGCAAGTAGTTTACTTACAAGCTAGCAAATACTAATATCCAAACAGTCAGACGTATCCAAAGATCTCTTACAACCAAGTCGTACTGTATTTCTAAATTTTTGCAAAGAATGACTTTTGAAAGCTTTATTGACTTTATTTTACAATCGATTTCAGAGTCTGGCCGCTCAAGGTGGACCCCCGCCGGGAGTGATGGGAATGCCTGGAGGAATGGGAGTGATGGGACCTGGTGGAATGGTACATATGGGACCGCCAGGAATGGCCGGCATTGGACCATCAAATGGACACCCACCACAGCCACAACAAGGTTTAAACAGACTAACAAGGCTTTTGTTTTGAATTTGAATTGTCAGATCATTTCTTCAAATGGACTAGATCTCTAGAAATTCTTCTTGAGTTACGTATCCTCGTACAAATTACCCTTTCAGGCTATGACTACGGTCAATGGCGCCCACCATCAAATACAACGATGATCACCGGATAGAAAGAGTTATTTTCTCTCGGAAATGATCACCATCTTTGAATCGAAAGAGTTGTGCATCTTTTTGACACATCGTGAGTTTTACAAAGATACGAGAAAAGCTCTAGTGAGTTGGAATTAGCAAAATCTCACTAACAAAGCTAGCAAAGCTGACTTTTAACCTGGCTTTGCTTCAAGTCTGGTTTACAAGAGTCGAACCTGAAAGAAGTCAATACTGGTTCAATCTAGCTTCTGGTCTAGCCTGGCTTGCAAAACTTTCTGCACCTGAGCCTGAGCCTGAGCCTGAGGCTTGGCTCTGGCTTGGCCTGAGCTAACTTACAACCTTTAGCATCCTCAAGATTCAGCATAAAGTCACTGATCAACCATATTACAGGCGGCCTAGTCACTTTTCTCCATTTATTTCTCATTTCAACTCTTCTCCTCTTCTCTTCTCCGACGAAAATTCTCCTGTGCAATCCCTCCAACTCCGAACACAAAACAAGTGCATTTTCAAGCTAAAATAATCCATTTCCACCACTGAATTCTTTTTTTCGCACCCGTGTCATCAAATTTCTATTTTCATTTCCCTAATGAGAGTAGTTTCTATTTGTGCAAATTTCTTTCCAATTTTTGCATTTTTTTTTTTAGAAAACTTTTCTTTTGAAAGTCCTGTGATTGTGCCCAATCGTTCAGTTTATATTTTCTTTTCTTTGAAACTTGTTTTTTTCATGCAAAAATCCCTGAAAACGTTCACTTCTCAACGTGGAGAGCATCGAAAATTTGCCGATTTTTTGTGTGTTTCAAATTTTTAGACAAAAAGCTTATTGTGTTGTGAGAAAAAAAAAGCTGGCCGGTGATTGGTGATCGAAAATTTTAAAATGAAAGCTTTTTTAACAGCTTCTGCTTCAAATTTTTGCTTTTTCTAAACCCCAAAACAATCCGATTCTCGATCACCAATTCCCCATTTATACAAAAATCTTTTGAAATTATATCTATTATCTTTTTTTACTTTGTCCTAATGGATCTCCTTGATCGCAAGCTGAACCCAAACACTGTGTGAAAACAGTTTCTCAATTGAAAATAAAAAAAAATTCGAAACTTTGACTCTTTTCCTTTGGAATTTCCTGAAGACCTCATCGTTTTCCCCTAAATTTTTGTGTTTTTCAAAATTTTGAAAATCAAAAATGGACAGCTCGAATCTTTTAGCGTTTTTCTTTAATTCTATGTCATCTTTTCATTCGTGCAAGTTCATTTGAAAAATATAAAATTTTCATTGATTTTTTCGATGTTTTGAAAGAAGAAATGAAGCCTTTAATGTAAATTTGCATAATAAAGAACGATTTGAAATTGGAAGGCAATGGAAGGCAATGGAAAATGAAACATAAAAATGTACAAAGCGGGGAATTTGGAGTGAAATGAGTACGCCAAATAGGATGTGTTTACATCTTTGAGCAACAATAATGATCATGAAGGCACATAATGAAAGTAATTTTAAAAAACAGTAAAACAGAAATAGATTCAGGTTTTCACACAAATGTTTAACGATACACAAGCAATTGAATCAATTGACTCAATTGATTTTTGATTAAATAGTAGCTTGATCCTTTCTTCATCGAAAAACGCCGCTTTTTCTTTGTCAAGTCACCAAACCTTATTTGAAACACTTGACGGATCCCCGAAAAAAAACTGCAATGATTCATCAACCCATAATACTCAAGTTTCTGTTGAGCATTGATTTCTGAACTGCATCAGCTTGGCAACAGTTCCACTTCTCTAGAAGGCATGCCCTGAATCTCAAGGTATTGGTGGCCACCACTTTAGCAGTGAGTGCTTTCAAAGCTGTGATTCTCGATTTTGATCAAATGCTGGCACAAACGAATCAAATGAACCTACAATCGTTGACGAAGTTGATGCTGTTTGGTTCAATTCGCCTGTCCAGTCTGTCTGCCCTGCTTCACTTTTTCTGAAAACCTTACTGAAAACCTTCCAAAGCTGACGTTTTTGGTGGTTTTTAAGCGAAAACTTTTTTCTCTTCAGTGTTACTTGCGTATTTTCATTGAATTTTCTTATCTAATTTACTTTATTTATTAATTAATCCATTATTTCTAGAGAGGAACAGATTGACGTGTGTAATCCAGAGTCATTCGGAGAAAAGGAGTTGAAATTTGCAATTGAGATTGAAATTAAACAAACCGAAAAGAGAATTTCAATCTTTTGTGGCACAAAAATGTTACAGAACACTCAAGCAGATTCAACTTACTTGTCAGTTAGAGTTAGAGGGGGTCTAAAAGTGACAGAATTGTTTCAAAGCCAATTTCGGTAAATGACTAGTTGACTGAGTAGTTGGCTTTGAAACAGAAGGTACGATTCAAGTGTAAATCAACTCAAATTGGCAATTAAAATCTAAAATGTGAAATAAAGTTCTATTTTCGATTTGTTTAATATGAATCTCAGTTTTCAGCTCCTTTCTTCCGATTTGGATTTCTTTCCAAAAAATCTCTTGGCAAACTCTGGAAATCGGCATGTGATACCACAGCCTGCACTATCACGGTCTGTGATAGCACAGATCATTTTCCGGCTATCTTGCCACGGTTTGTCGAGGTTTGTCATCTCTTGTCAAAGTCTATCATCTTTTGTTGGGGTTTAGGGGATTTGTCGAGAAATAGTTCGTTCGATGAATGATTTTTTGAACTTCAACAAGCGATTAGATCGGTGAAATCGAGTCGAACAGTCATCAGATCATGCATTTCATGCATCAAGTTACGATTAGTAAAAATGGTTTCTTGTGTTTTGTTTTTTTTTTGTTTTTTTGTGACCAAGCCATCACTTTTCTTTTGTCAATTGACAAAAAGTTAAAATTTTTTTGAAAACTTCAATGAAACTATGGATTAGAGTTGAAAAAAATATTGAGCGAAACACCCAAATTCTAATTCTAAAACGCAACCCCGTGGGCTACGGTATAAAACGAAAATTTTGCTTTTAGGAAATCGTTCTTCTCTTCTCCCCGAAAGTGATTGGTGTTCTTTTCTTCCATATTTTGAGTTTTTTGAGTTGTTCCCTGTTAGAATAGACTTTTATATTTTCTAGACGCACGTCTCACTAGTTTTAAGCATTTTTTTGATGACAAATTGGCTATTTTGGGTCTACGAGACGTTTTTGCTTAAAAACAGCGACTGTTTAAATCTTTTGAGTCGATTTTTCTCCTTTTAGATGTAAAGCTTTGATTATTGTTGCTTATGAACTAAAGATCATCACCAATTTTAGAAAAACAAAAGATTTTATCAAACTTTGGCTAAAAGCCGGCATTTATCCCCACCTTGTTGGTTGTTTTTGTCCTGTAGCCAACTTTTTTGCCATATATTTACTGATTGCTCTTTTCTTATCTTTCAAATTTCAGTCAGGTTGTTTATTATTGGTTTTCGTGGAGTACTTTTCATTTTTAACTTTTCTTTTTCAGTCGTGTCAAGATGCAAGCTCAACTTTGTTTCCTCAAGGATCTCGATTCATTTCAAGTGGAGCCGAACTATTTGAAGCTGGTGTATCAAACGAAATCTTTTCGTTTTGCTTACCCAGACGATTTGGATGTTCGCAAATTTTCGGTGAAAACGCTTGAAAATATCCAGGTCACTCTGCCCGAAATGTTACTCCAGGTTCGATATTTCTACATTTATGTTAAAACTAAACTTCATATAAAGATTGATTATAATATAACGGAAGTCTTTATAAAACGGCTTCTCGCCTTCACATTTCAATTGTGTTATATGAAATATTATTAATCGGTATTTATTTGTTTATTTTTAGTATGAAACTGATGGCATGTGGACTGGACTTCATATTGTTGATTTATGTGCTGGATTCATCGACATGATGAAATTTGCCGTTTTTCTGGCAAAACTGGGAAACATTGCAGGCTATCAACAGGTTTTATTTTAGTTTTTATTGGAATCAGAAGCTAGATTTTTAGTCTTTAATCTTTAACTCATTGATTTTGAAATTAGCTATTTCGTTAAAAAAATTGAATACAAGAACTGATTAATTTAGACGTTTTTAGTTGATTGTACCAACTTTGGATGCATCAGAAGAAATACAATCGAATTCTGAAGATGAAGAAGGATCATTCGAGGATTTTGAAGGCGATGAATTGGATGAGAGCAAGTTAGTTGTATTACCAGTTCACCTTGAATGAAAGTTTGCATGAATGGATTTTTCAAGATTGAATACATTTGTTAATTTGCACGAATTTATCAAATTTTTGCTTGATCTTTCATATAATATAGGATGATTATTGATTTTTAGTTCCGTTGGCCAAATGAACCCACGCCCCCGATTCAGTCTGTTCGAGGATTACGCAAGGATGAACGTGACTCAGCAATATATGGAGCTCACTGTTGGTGGAGAATCCTATCGTTTCGCTCACCCACCTCTCAAGGGAATTCACAGCACATCAGCGCTCACGCGGCCAGCTTCCACCTGGCAAAAATCATAGGCTTCTCATCTACGGCGTCATTCTTCAAGTTGTCCTTTTTTACATTTGAACTCATGTGTCTTGTTTTAAGGAACAACCTCTGCAGCAAGCACCGCATCAGGATGCTTATGACGTCGACCTGTACATTGCTTTTGAAGATTCTGGTCTTTACCTCCAATTTATGGACGCTCTTCGCACCCGAGGTTATGTTCTCGTTCCTTGAGGTGAGTTTTTTTTAACGTTTAATGTATTGAATTGATTTTCTTATCATCATATTAGTATTTTTGCAACGCTATATTATGTCTATAGTATAAAATAAAATCTCCGTATGTTCAGTTATCTAATTTCCTGTAAATAATAGCTGTAATGTTATAAAAATATATCAACTAGAAAGAATAATGTTTTTTAATTTTTAGTGTCTTGTCACAAATGATGCTCATCTCATCAAGAATCGGCTGAGAAAAATGTTAACGTTTATTTAGCGTTTGTTAATAAATCATTGTTTTGAATCCTTATTGAATTGCCACTCACCACTCACCAATCTCAATTAAACTTTCGACAACATTGCCTAAACACAACAAAATAAACATTGCTCACCACTAGACAGCTATATGTATTCTGATAAAGAATCTGTTTAATAATATTGAGAAATAAGTAAAAACAGTTTTGCTAAAACGAGCCAGACTTTTGGATTGACTTGTTTTTTGAATTTGCCATAGGGCTTTCCGGATTGGGCTTTTCTCGTGTCAAGCCAAACGACGAGACGGACTAGACTTGTAGATATAAACAGAAGGTTTTACAAGATTTCTCCCGATTGAGATTGCTCGCGTAAAACTTTTGACCTCTTTACAACTCACATCATGTCCACGTGAAGAGAAGTGGTGGAAATCGTGAAATTCACCAGTAATTCACCGATGATGTCCATTGCACGATCATTTGCGGTATGCCGGAAAGTTTATTGTCCCAGCTAGTTTTACCATCAACTTTTTACCATTGGGCCGATAAGTTCCAGATTTCTATATTGGAAAATCTTGTTGGGGATTTGAGTGTTGAGCAAAAGCTCTTCACTCGACACTCGAGGACTCGCAGCTTCGGGACTTCTTCAGGAAAGGGATCCGAGATTTGAAAGAAAAATGGAGAAAGACTATTGCCAACAACGGAAAATATCTTTTGGATTAAAGAGCACTGTTTTCTTTTTGTGGAGATAAATTTGCTTTTCATTAAAAGGGTATTTTAATTCCGGACAACCTAATAGCTTTGGAACAGCCTTGAGAAAACTGCTGACGGTAAAATTTAAGCTAATTGTGCTTTCAGCAAAATTTTGCATCACACAAGCTTAAAGTTTTACTTCCGATTTGTTCAATTTGAAGCATTTACTAATTTCTGCTCTTTTTCCTGCTTCGGACTTCTTAACGCATCAAAAAATATTTTGCAAATAAAGATTACTTCTGTGATAAGAAAATTTTTCCTTTTAAGCACCTATTTCGAACGCGTTTCACCTCAAATTTTCCTTGCAACACAGAATTTTTCTTCTTTTTTTCCAGAAATGTTGACTGATAAGCGTCGTTACTTTCTGGTAAAACTGCCTCACTCACGGGACTTTTCCCTGTTTTCCATGCTTCATGAACTAAACCTTTAACATTTTATTTACCGTATTCACTCTATTAGTAGGGTGGCCTAGTAAATTTTCGTGGCCACCCGGATCGCCCAACTATTAGAGACACCCTATTATTAGAGAAATCGAATAAGTTTAACTCTAAGCGTATTTCAAGGATAAAGACATCATTTTTCTTTCAAAAAAACATTATAAACGGGGTTGTTTCTGGAAGATTAAACTAGTCACCCGGAGTTTCTTCGATTTTATGTCACACATTTTTTTGGTCGAAATTTACGAAGCAAATTTGGGTGTGATATTAGAGACGCCCTACTAATAGAGTAAATACGGTATACAAGTGATAAAAGCCATTTTTAGAGTTTTTCAATCTTCTCATTTCTAGCGGTTAAGTTCCCCACGAAAATGGACCTAACTGGACTACATACCATTGAAGCCATGTGTCGACGTTCTGACCTCAAGGTGAAGGGGCAACTAATGCAACGATGTCCACAATTCTTCGAGAAGGTTACTCTCCTGGAAAAAATGCTCGGTTGGTGTGCCGTTGATCAATGACATTTTGACGATACCGTATGCTTTTTGACGATACCTATTCGTACTGCACCTTCTAATAGTAGTGACAATTTTGACTTTTAAGATCAATTTGATTTGAGCAGAACCATAGATTTAGATCCATAGCGTTGTATTTTTATGGTTTAGAGCGAAATTGAATCAAAAAAATTTCATTTGGGGGGATTGGGGTTGTGCTTTTGGCAGGAACCGGTTCCAAAGGTGTTCCAGCGAAAAGCTGGAACGAAAAGCTGGATTCGTTTTGGAACCGTTTCCAAAAGCGGTTTCAATTTTTTGTACGCAAAATAAAGAAATGAAAAAGAATGGAATGAAATTTGCATATGCTCGAATTTGCATTTTAAAATTTAAAAAATCTTATGGGAAATAAAATATTCAGTTGAAACTTTGGAACCGGTTACAGCTTTTTCAAAAGCGCTTCTAAATCACTTGGAAACGTTTTCTGTCAAAAGCATAGCCCTATGGGGGATCGCAGAGTTTTTTTGGAAAATGTTTTAGGAGCCAGAGGAAAGAAAATTATTTTACATTTAAACAAGTTAAAGCTAAAGTTAAAAGAGATGAGGTAGATGGCCTTAGAAAGGAAATGAGTGTACGGCGGTGTACAGTGTGCACGCCTTCGATTTGACAAAGGGAGGGAGAGGCGCGAATTAGGAAACAGTTTTGGGGTTTATGGATCCAGGTGGATTCAACCTAAAATCGAGGTGGATTCAACCTCTCAAAGAGCAAACGAAAATACTTTTTTTGTAGAAAGGGTGAACAACTCAACGAACACTTCGCTAAAACAAGACATTCAACGGCACGGGATTCTCGAGAAACTCAATTCTTTGGCGACACTTTTGACAACAAAACACCATCATACTTGGACTCCAGTTCAGATTGTCGGAGATGTGTATCTTCAGGCACCTGGAGGTATCACTATCATAAGTATTAGCTTGTAAAAAAAAAAGTCATTTTCGGTATGGCAGATGGATTTCCTTGAACAATGAATATTCCACAATCATATGATCTGTTTCACTAAATATACTTATTTTTAGGCAAATTTGAACCTATTCTACAGTAATTTGAACCTAATTTAGACTAAGCTCCGATTTTTCTGACTCTCCTTGAAATAAACGTTTAGCAAGAATCGCTGGAGTCGTTTCAGAAGTTTTTTAGAGATTAAACTTTTTGTTTTCCATCCTATTTACTGTTTGCCTTTAGCACCGAAAGGGAAAGTTTTCAATTCAAAAATTCCCCAACTTTCTCAAAAGAATAATTTTGCCAAGAAGAAGAGAAATACTTAGATATTTTAAATCAAGCTTCCGTATTGGTAAATTCATTGTTCGAAAAGGAAACTTTTTGCAGACTTTTTCAATTTCTTTTCAGTTATTCGTCAACAGGAAGAATTTATGCTTTTCGAGTGCACTGAAAAAGAGGTTTTCTGGAATCGAAACGTCGATAAGGCCGCCCACGTAATGCAGGGTCTCGGGCTAGGCTTCTTCACCTTCTTCATCTTGACGGGAACTTTTATTGATGCATGTGTAAATGCTCATAAAAATCGATGTGCATTGGTGTGAGATTCGAGGGCAATTGGACACGTTTGTGAATGACTTTTTGTCTGTTTACGAGGATACGAATGCCCTCTTTCTAACGCATCTGGTGACCGAAAGGCGAAATTGAAAGAAAGTGACTACTGACTTTTCAATGATTCACAAATTATTATCTTTAATAAAAGGATATCAATTCTTCATGTTTGTAAATAAGATTGAATTTTGCATATGCTATAATTCAACAACAACAAGTATAATCGAGAAAGTCAACACGAGAATATACAAATTGAACACTTCTAAGTGAGAAGAAAAGACGTTCGTTGAGTTGTAGACACAAAAATTATCATTTATACTAAAAGCCGAGTTTCGCATTTCAAGCTCTAGAAATTTCGGGGATTTTTTGTTATTTTGAGAGAAAGAGTATTCAGATCTATCGACTATCTAACTTTGTGTAAACTCACAAGACAAGGTATTTAAGGTGAAGATCGACTGATGAAACTAGAGTTAAGATTACGGTAGTTTCGAAAGTTGGTTACTTTTAAGAACACCAAATCCCAAATACCGTCAATAGATTCTGATAAGCGGCTTTTCGAGATTTCAAGCAATTTAGGCAAGACTCAGGGAGCACTACTATTAGAGAGAATACGGTATACCTGTTATTGACTTTCCAATATAGAAATCTGGAACTTATCAGCCCGATGGTAAAAAGTTGATGGTAAAACTAGCTGGGACGATAAACTTTCCGGCATACCGCAAATGATCGTGCAATGGATATCACCGGTGAATTACTGGTGAATTTCACGATTTCCACCACTTCCCTTCACGTGGCCATGATCTGAGTTGATAGATACAAATAGAAAAAAAAGAAAGGAAAAGGAACAATAAGTAAAGAGGTCAAAAGTTTTACGCGAGCAATCTCAATCGGGAGAAATCTTGTAAAACCTTCTGTTTATATCTACAAGTCTAGTCCGTCTCGTCGTTTGGCTTGACACGAGAAAAGCCCAATCCGGAAAGCCCTATGGCAAATTCAAAAAACAAGTCAATCCAAAAGTCTGGCTCGTTTTAGCAAAACTGTTTTTACTTATTTCTCAATATTATTAAACAGATTCTTTATCAGAATACATATAGCTGTCTAGTGGTGAGCAGTGATGTGACCAAAGTTTAATTATATTAGGTTGGCAAGTTATAAACGATCGTTTTTGGGCAATGTGTTTTCTGAAAAAACGGCTTATCCAATCAAAAAACGGTTTGCTTGATTCAAAAGCCCTATCCTTAATCTACAAGATGGCTTTTTTGAATTTGTGGAAAAGGTTTTATTTTAGAACTTTTTCAGGCATTTTAATGTAAGAGTTGAAAATCCTGATTTCTAGCATTCATGAGCTAATATATTTTTGAGTGATTGCATATTTTTTAGAATAAAACGCTTCATCGACTACATAGTTTCCCAAAATTTCAGAAAAAGTTCTAAAATAAAACATTTTTCACAAATTCTTTTGTTAAAATAAATTCAGTGCTGACAATTTCGACAATTCTCTCGATTCAATTCGTTTATTCAACTTCGACAATTCAACTCGTTCAACTTGATTCACTTGGCGCAACTGCACAACTTGCACAATCCCTACTTTAAATGGTTATTCATTTGCAATTAATTGATTCTTATCTCAAAATTTATCAAAGTGTTTAATTTTCAAAGATCCAAATTTTTCTGAACGCAAACGATTTTCTGTCGCCTCTGAAAGTCGTTCCACCGTATCTTTTTCCATTTGCTTTTTGTTCTTCATCACAAATGGAATTAGATATCTGTCCAATATCTCAATATATTGTTGATTTTACGAGGACAAGCGGACCCGTTGAACTTTTTCACATCACACGAAAGAAAGCACGTTGGGCTGCAAGTACTTGAGTTGATATCGCTTTCCAATTGGACGTCGGATTAGGTGATTTCGATTCGAAGGAAAAATATCAACTTTTGTTTCATCAACAAAAAACACTCAGACCCAATCATCGATTGTTCAACTTGAATAGGTTCAAGGAAATTGAAGCCGTTGTCTTCTGTGTTTGGCTGTCATCATAGGCTTGAGAGCAGGTCTTCTAGTATGCAATGCTACTTGAAGCAAGCGTCGACGCCAAGCCCAGCGGGAAATATGCTTGTTTGAAGTTTGCTTGAAAAAAAATGACTCCATCGTTCAACGTCAAATTCGGAATCGGTCTTCATTCTTTGCTGTAATTCTCGGTCGTCCCTTTTCGCGCATTTCCAGGCGCACTCATTTTTGCCATAACAAGAGGAACTATTGTGGGCGTACTTCCTAAGAGGCAACGTCTTGTCGTGGCCTTCCTTGCTTCCTTGCGTCATTTCTTTATCCAGAGTTGACAAATACGCTCCTGGCATCTAAAAAAATAAATTAGTACCAGTAAATAAGAAGAGAACGAAAGCAATAAAATTTTTCAAATGTTAAAACGTTAAAAATTTAACAATAAAAGGGAAAAGCTGAACCTATTGCTTACATTAGCAACAATCGCAGCAACAAGAAATTGGCCTAGAATTGCAACTTATATTAACTTAAAATTACCAAGTTTGTGGCTGAGAATAATAGACAACAATCTCGCGATTCTTCTCCGAAAATCCCGTGCCAACAGTCGAATTCGTTTTCAACAAAGTATAGACTAGAGTGTGTTTCTCTCAAGTAATAGCTTTCTATAACGTGCCCTTCAAAGCGAAATTTTAAGATATTCAATATCATCAACTGAATATCTTTATTTTCACCTTTGAAGGGCGCGTTATAGAAAGCTATTACTTGAGAGGAGCACACTCTAGGATAGATATCTTTTGTGAATTTGGTGATACTTATTGGTGTTCCACACAAACGGGCTTGTCTATAGAACATGTGTGAATCAGACTTTTCCAGTTTCGGGAAGGAAACAAGTTAAAACGTTGGCCACGTTCTACGACTTATACGACCAAGCCTCGGTCGTAGAAGTCGTGTTGATCGAATTCTGATACCATTGACTCGAATGAATAGAATTATAGAATTGTACACGTACGTTTGATCCTTGTTGGAATTTTCAGATGAAAAAAGAGCTTTCTAAAACGTGTCAACCTTTCGAAAGCCATCGTAATCTTGTCACAAAATTTTATCCAATCCATCGACTTTTGATCTAATTTTGTGTAAATTCACAAGACAAGGTATTTAAGGTGAAGATCGACTGATGAAGCTGAAGTTAAGATTACGGTAGTTTTCGAAAGTTGGGTACTTTTAAGATCACGGAATCCCAAATATACCTGCTATTGACTTTCAAATATAGAAATTTGAAACTTATCAGTCCGATCGTACCGGTGATGTCCATTGCACGATCATTTGCGGTATGCCGGAAAGTTTATCGTCCCAACTAGTTTTACCGTCAGGCTTTTCAGATTTCTATATTGGAAAGTCAATAACAGGTATATTTGGGATTTCGTGTTCTTAAAAGTACCCAACTTTCGAAAACTACCGTAATCTTAATCAGTCGATCTTCACCTTCACCTTCATCAGTCGATCTTCACCTTAAATACCTTGTCTTGTGAATTTACACAAAATTAGATCAAAAGTCGATGGATTGCATAAAAGCTTGTGACAAGAATCACTGAAAGAAACTATAATACTAATGGAAACTGAGAAGTAAATGGTTATTCATAATTTATTACCTTAAATACCTTGTATTCTCTATGAATTTGCCAAAGTTTGACCAAAAGTTTATAGATTGGATAACAACATGAAACAAGATTAAGAAAGTTTTCGAAAGTTAGACACTTTCTACGAAAACTATAGTAAACTAGTAAACTATCAAGAAATGGCTTTTTTAGCCTTGTGACTCATCTAGTTGGGTATTTTGAATGAGTTTTGAATGACAAGAGTGAAGTCAAGGGTTATTCTTTGTAAGTTCTTTCTCTGGTTCTCCACTTACTATATATTTGAAGAAAAAAAAGGCACGATTTCCATTAAAATTACGATTTCCATTAAGTTTACGATTTCCATTAATCACACTAATTTGGTTCGAGATTTGAAGTTATCACTTCATTCTTTTTTTTCTGCTTACCGAGTTTTTCAAGCATTCTCACAGTCTCGATTTTCCTGATTCTCTTCATCTTTTCCCATCTCACTCCATCGAATCTCTCTCCACAAACAAACTCTTTCCCATTTCCAATTCTCAAAGGCCAGTCGGTTGTCCGCAACGCGACAAAATTCCACTCTCAAAAGCGAAAAAGAACTCAAGAATTGGCATCTTGCCAAAAAGCGTTATCATCCAATTTTTCCTTCTATTTTTCGCTCATCTTTTCGATGAAATAGATTTCATCGATGACCTTCAACTTTTTAACCTGGAAATGGTTTTTTCAGCCTTGTGACTCATCAAGTTGGATATTTTGAATGAATTTTGAATGACAACAGTGAAGTCCAGGGTTATTCTTTGTAAATTCTTTCACTGAAAGCCATAGCAGTGTCATTTTTGTGCTAAGCAAAGCAAAATGCGCAAATTTCCACAGATCTAACTTCCCTTATCGTTTTTAACCAATCCATTCGACCATTCCTGTTTGATGACACTTTTTCATTAGCCAATCAAAAAGCCTAAACTGTGTTTTTAAATCACTTTCAAGTTTTAAGCCTCAAAAACGAAATCATTGTTCCACAATGTTCACAAACACACTCAAATTAAAAGAGACGATCTCAAAGAACAGAAAATGGCTTCATTTCAAAGATTCTAAGGTTTCTCAATTTCAAATTTTACAAACAATCTTCTTCAAATTCTCCAACCTGACAGTCTAACATTTTTTCTAAAAATTTTAAACTCAAAATTGACCAGGCATCAATAAAATAAATAAATCTATGTTTTCAAAAGTCTACTATGTATTGCTGTTACTAGAATTTACATTTTGTGATTTCATCATCGTATCATAATAAGCGAAAGTCGAAATCCTCTTCAAAAAAAAACTATCGAAAACAAGAGCTCCATCTGGTTGTCGTTTTTTTTCTTTTTTTTCTTTTTCACTCTTGAAAATCAATTGCGAAACGATGGAGAATGAAAAAGAGAAAAGAATAGAAAAAAAGAGGGGATGTTTACTGGAATCCATAGAAAAAAAAAGGGGAAAAGGGGGGATGGACTTGGGCTTTTGGGGTGAAATGACCCGGAGAATGGATCCGTTCAGTTTTTCTGTTATTTTACTCGTTTCTCATTGATTTCTTTTCATAATTCTTATTTTTAAAGCTTGACTTATCACTGTCTGTGTTTGAATATGAAGTTACTAAATGGAAAGCTAGATTTTGTTTTGAATCTGTTCTGGAGTCGTCTAATCCATGATTGAGCAGAGAACACATAGTAAGAATGCTGAAACAGTCATTAACCTTAGAAGAAGTTTTAAAAAACGTAAAAATTGATTTGTTTTCCTTTCTGCTACAAATGAAGAAATTTTACAAATTATACAAACAAAACAAAACAAAACTACAAAAACAAGTTTATGTAAAAGTTGTTTTTTTGTTGACTAAGCAGGGCCAAGCTTGGGTTTTTCCTGTTTATTTTTGATCTAATGAAACTAACCATTCTGCTGAAGCTTCATTGAAAACTAAGTAATACGTTAAGGCATAAGCTTCTCATGCTTCAAAATATCAAGAAGTCTGTACGAAAGAAGGGATTTTGAAAAAAGATAGAAGAGAAAGAGGTTGAATGACTGGAGAGCGGAAGGGCTGTAGGGGAAGGGAAGGCTTGTTTGTGTCTCGCTTCCTTTCCCTCTCCCCCTCTCTCCTTGTTGAGAGCCTTTCCCATCTCATTCCCATTTCATTCCCATTCCTTTCTCTTTTCTTCCTTTTTGTGTGTCTGTATCGATTTAAAGCCCTTGATCACTTTTCTCTTTTCCCCGAAAAATTCCACCAAACAGTTTTTTTGCGTTACTTTTTTGAGTTCACTGATTCATTCTCTCTATTTTGACAGACATCATTTTTCTCATTCAATTTTGGTCATGAATCACTCGTTTAAAGCCGTGAAGTTTGTTCAGAGTTGGTTATTGGAAGGATTTCTGTGTAAAACCTTCAAAACTTGACTTAAACCAGTGTTTGGTTTTGCAAATTTGACAAGTTCTTAAAGCCAAATCTTGTACAATGTTCCAAGTTTGGAACTCTTCAAAAATTTCTCTACTTACCATTATTTATTCCAATTCCAATTCCAAGTGCGATTCCTTTCCCGATCGTATCGATATCACTTTCACTTTGATGATTCATCTCTTTTTTCACTCTTTTAGTGATCTTTTTCTTTTTTCTCTTCCCAAATCGGTCTAAATAGATAAAATCGATTGATCGCTTTTTCCCGACAATTTTCCATGAGCTTCTTCTCGCTTTTTAGTCGGATTCCAGTGTTCTTGTGAATCATTTTTAGATCAATTTCAGTGAATCGCTTGCGCATTTCAGCGCACTGTCAATTCAAATCTTCATAAAGGGTTCTTCGTGGATTTTTGAACCAAAAACATATAATTTCTCTATAGTCAAATCTGTTTACGTTAGATTTTTAACTTAAAGTCAGTTGAACGTTTTATTATCGCAACTCTTTTTATCTTTTTAACCGTAAGGACTAACACAAATCCACAAATCACTAAAACTTTTTTATTCTTCACATTTCTCTTTAAGTAGGATAAAGTTTGGTCATATAACTGCACGAAAAAGCAATGCTTGTTTGCTGTTTTTCAGCTGACTCAAATAGTTTGATCAATTCTTGAATCAAAAGGTGATGGAATTGACAAAAAGCTTTTCAAAATTTTGTTTTATCAAGACGTTCTTTGATCTAAACTTGCATTTCCCGATGAATCGATTGATCGCTTTTCCCTCCGCAAATCGCCCATTTCCTGATCTTGCGATCTTTTTTCTTCTCTTCACTCCGAAAGGGTCCCATTTTCTGTCCCAAATTCTCCTCTTTACCCTCCATTCCCATTTTTCCCAGCTGACCCCTCCCTATTTCGTGTTTTCCCAAAGCGACTTCTTTCCCGTTTTAGCCCATCCCTTTCACTCTCCTATTTTTTCCGAGTTCTCCACCTATTTTTCTTTTTCTTTTTTTTCTTAACCCATCCCTCACCTATTTTTCTTCCCTTTTTTTCTTCTTTTCCCTTCTAGACACTGCGAACTCGAAAAAATTGCCCGCATTTAACCCATCAAAGTAAAGTTTTCCGAAAAGTCGAGTTCCTCGTATTACATATGAATTCTTTTTGAGCTCAGTTTAGACAAAACTCGGAAAGCAAGCTGTTTTGACACACGTTTTGCAAAAAAAACTTGATCTAAAACTTTTGAATTTGTTTTGCTTTTGTCTGTTACAAAGTTCGAAATCTGTTTACCCTTCTAAAAATCTCAATTTTCATATCTTTTTATTGTTTCATTTGTTTACATCAAATTCGATTACATCATTCCATTATACCCAAATTCTTGAAGAATTTCCAGATGCACAATAATGAGATCGATGTTGAACGGGTCGTCTCGCAACTCGATCGTTTCAATTTCGCCGATGATTTCTATTCGAGGTTTGTGATTGAAAATGGTTTATTGCAGGTTGATTGCAGCTATAAAATGCCAAATTTCAAATAGCATTTGAATAATTACAAAGTAAAACGAGAAATTTTCGCTTCAGACCCGGCATAGAACGGTCCTACTATGACCCAAATGAGGAGACGCCGATTTTCGCCCACTACGACAATGTACCGGTGAATTGAATTGGAGTAGCGCTGGAAATTCCGACCAGTTTACTCAATATTTAACTTCATTTTTATCATGATTGTTAGTTATTGAAAAATAATTTTGCATTCAGGCTCCCGAACCCTTCCCGAGACATCAAAGTCGGCAAGATTTCTATGAAGTGTGCAGGGATCAACCGGGAAGCTCTAAAGGAAATCAATCCTATGGTTAGTTGAGGAAAAAGGCTTAAAATTTAACTTATAATTCGAATAATTTGGATAATTTAGAAATCTACCGTAATCTTTCATATTTTACCTGTTTTCTACTTAACTTTGATCTCATTCGTTTCACAGATTGAATGAGAATGAGATCTAGATTATTACGTTGAATCTTAGCTCTCGATAACCCCTATTCCGTTCTTTGGTTTATAAATTATTAAAACACTAATACAATTAGAATTTTCCTCAAATGAAAGTTGTTTATAGCTTAGTTTGCGATCTTTTTAAGCAAATTTGGGTCGATTTTAAAATAAATTTGCGCAGATGTTCGTGTTTTTCTGAAAATTCTTCTAACAGACATACAACTAAAAGCAATTAGACAGATCGAGCTGTGAATTCGGTAATATGCCTAACTTTTCATTCTCTATCGTTTTTCTATTGACATCAAAATAGGTTTCTGTGGAAGAAAGTGCTCAAATCGCTTAACCATTTCCGCTTCCTCAACTTCTTTCCACCATAAAGCTCTAAAACTCGATCTTTCCAATCAAGCTGAGAATATGCTTAACTTCTCAGGCTCTATCGTTTTTCTATTGACATCAAAATAGGTTTCTGTGGAAGAAAGTGTTCAAATCGCTTCACCATTTCCGCTTCCTTAGCTTCTTCTAGAAATTCGTCCAATCTAGACTGATCGGACGTCCGATCTAGAGTGAAGTGAGGTCAAGCGTCCGATCCAGAATCAAGCTGATCACGTTGGACGTGACATACCGTATTCTTTCTAATAGTAGTGCACCGCGACGAGCCGAGTTGGTGACTATAAAGGAGCCATCAAGGAACTAAATAGGAACTATAAAGGAACTAAAGCTTCACCATTTCCGCTTCCTCAGCTTCTTTCCACCAGAAAATCTCTAAAATCAGAGCTTTTCCAAATCTCTCAAAAGCTACTTTCAAAAAATAGACCTTTATATTGATAAAAACCGTAGATTATTTGATACATTAGTTATTTCTAAAAATAAAAACGTATAATTGTTATCAAGTATTAGTACTCAACCTAAGAAATAAATTTCACAAAATCTAAAGAAAGATTACGGTAGTTTTTTGAATTATTCACCGTTTCGAAAGCGATGGAAAGCTTTAGTCACACTTATTAAATATTTCCAAAAAAATCCTCTTTAGACGCTTCTCTCTACCATCAACATCAACACCAAAATGGGCATGAGGTGAGAAACGGAATGGATTCAGAAGGAAATGTGAGACTTTTGCATGCACGACCCATGGAGACATGGAATGCACAAAGAATGAGTAGAACAGCTCCGCCGACAGCCAACACGACACTCGATGAAAGCCTACGAAGAGCCCAATCTACTGTACCCACGCAGTCCGCCTACCGTACCACACAACGAAAAGAGACACTGATTGGAGTGGATTCGAATGAGTTCCTGGGACAACCGGTGGCTAGGCCGAGACTCAATAAACCACAACAACCGGCAGTTCCACAACTCATACAGACAGCGACAGCCGATCCACGAATGAGACCAAAAAGTGTGAAAGCGCCTGTGTATCATCGAATGTCCCAACCTGCACAAGTCAACCATCGGGTGTCGGAGAAAAAGAATCGACGAGTAACCACGACTGTCACTCCATCCTCTACTAACAAAAGCACTGTTTTGGTCTGTCTTTTTGTTTTTTAGAGTTTCCGGTAGTGGCTACTTTAGGTATTGTTAAAAGTAGAGTTTAGCGAATCGTTTAGTTTAAGAAATTGTCTATCTAGGTTTTAGAGATTGATTGTTTAGATTTAGTTTATTATTTCAAAATAGATCCACCTTTTTGTTACACCAAAATAGATCCAGGAAAAGCTTTCCCAACTCATTTCCAAAGCAACAGCTTTGGAAATGAGTTGGGGAAGTTTTTTAAGCGTCTCTTTCATCCCTCACACTGACGGTCTCTTTCATGTTCAGATTTCTCGTATACAATCCGATTAAATCAAAATATTGAAGACATATTAGGTTTATGCATAAGTCTTTTCGTTTTTTTCGTACTTCTGTTAAAAAGTAACAAATTCACCAATTAATCTATAGTTTGCTCTATAAAAAAAGTGTTTTTTTGTTCAATTTGCATCTTTTTAAATGAATTTCGGTTCACTTTCAAGCAAATTCGAGAGTGAAAAACGCCTTTTTCGTAAAAATCTGTAAAAAACTCTACGGAAAAATTGGCTGAATGAATTTCTCTGAAATTTTGGCGAAATATCAAACTTTTTTTCTCTATCTTTTATCTATTGACACGAAGATAGGTTTTCTTTAGCTAAGGTGTCTAAACCGCATCATCGAGTTAGCCCTTTTTGACTACCCGACTTCATACTCTCAAGAAAATCCAGGCATAAAATATTTTTAAACCCGTTTTAATGTTATTTTGCAGAAAAATAATTGTTTTTTCTAATGAAATCAACCGTAGTTTAATTGGTGCATTTGTTGGCTTGAAACGGCAGACGAAAAGGAACGAAAAGACTTATGCATCAACCTAATACATAAGAGCAGGCATCTGTTTTCAACATTATTAACTAATATTAACTTTTTAAGCATACCTCAGCAATCTCTAAAATCTGGCATATAGAAAATTGAAATTCAATGTCCCAAATAACAAAAATTTCCAATTTTTCACTAACATTATGCAACTTTTAACGCTTTTGCACGACTTTTTTTTGTTTCATGAGTGTAGTGTTTGTGGTTTGACGGAAATCGGCTTAAAATTAGCAAATTTAGGCAAAAAAATTTGAATTTTACGACAAAACTCAAAAGTTATTGCAGTTTTTGAGGGAAATTTTCGCATTTTCAAAAAAAAGGTGACGAATGACGCGTTTTTTTGAGCAGAATAGACAAAATCGAATTGCTAAAATGAAAAAAACGCCCACCTGATTGATTGTCTTCGATGATTGATGTTTTCTAAACTGAAATTGACCTTTTTAAATCGAAATCTGAGTATTTTAAAGCTAAATTCTCAAAATCTAAATATTTATAGCTTTTTTTTTCAGCCACCTTCGAATCAACTCGTCAACAGTCACTCGGCTTTTGGGCGAGTCGAATTCGAAGAGGTTTGTGAGAGGTTTTTTTTAAAAAAACTAACAATAAGATTGCCTCAAAAAGCTTTCAATCCTCAAAACCAAACTTTTTTTATTGTAAATTTACTTAAGCCTAGAGAAAAGTCAATCTTTTTGAGGGGAATTTTGGCATTTTTAAAAAAAAGGTGACGCATGACGCATTTTTTGGGCTCAATAGACAAAATCGAATTGTTAAAATGAAAAAAAAACCCTCACCTGATTGATTGTCTTCGATGATTGATGTTTTCTAAACTGCAATTGACCTTTTTAAATCGAAATCTAAGTATTTTAAAGCTAAAGCTAAAAACTGACAATAAGACTGGCTCAAAAAGCTTTCAATCCTCAAAATCAAACTTTTTTTATTATAAATTTACTTAAGCCTAGAGAAAAGTTAATCTTTTTTGAAATTTTTTTTGAAAACTTTATTGAAACGGACTATTTTGGACCACTTTCTCCAGATTTCATAAAAATTTTGAACTTTCTATTAAGAAGACAATTAAAATCTACTTCTACAACTTATTTGAAAATGTTAAATGTAAATTTTTGTATCCAATTAGCAAATGAACATCGATTTCCAGCTCCCTAAATCGATTCGACAACGGGAAGAACGGGGATTTGGTGCATTTCCAACGCCTGGAGCACAAGAGAATTGTAAGCTCTGGAAATCTACTGTTTAAACTTCCAAATCTAACCTTCTATTATCTGTAAATAAGATGTAGTCAAGTTTTTTACAAATTAATCTTGATTTGGAATCTTCCAGCTCGACAACAAAGCCAACCGCGGCGGCAAGACGATCGCTCGCAATCGCAGACTTTTCCGCCGAGGAATCCGAGAGCTGAGTGAGGAAAAATTAAATAAATTTTGCAGAAATTAAATAAATTTCATAACTAGATGAAGATTTCTAGAGTTTTTTTCAGATCTCAGCCCCCGTTTGAGCGAAACACGAAGAAGCGCGTCTCGTTGGCGAAATCGATGACAAGAAAATTGAAACGTGAGTCAAAAAAAGGCGAAAATACTTTCGGATTAGGCTTGAAATCCCAAAAATCGATCATAAAATCTTCATTTTCAGACATTTTTGGTGGTTCTTCGTCAAAGGATCAAGCGAGGAAGCACCACGCGTCCACCCAATCCTATGATCACCAAACTGTACAGGTACTTCTGATATCGGAAATGTAGCTAGACAAGAATTGTAATAATTGTAATCTCTGAAAAACAAATCCAAATTCATCTATAATTGATAGGTTTTTTTTTGTTTGCTGAAAAGTTTTCAATTTTCAAGTCAAACTTTTCCTTGTTCCAAAGCAGATGTTTTTCTTTGTTTGTTTTGCTGATTTTTGGCAGCTGATTCGTCTCAATTTTTCTGAGAAAAAACTTTTTAAAAAGTCAAGTCAATGGCTAAACTTTTCAAAAAAAATACTAAAGCTTATTTTAAAATACACTAAAGTAATGGTTTCGAACTTGAGAATTTTCTCCCCCAAGCCAGTTTCTCGAATTTTCGATAGCCTAAAAGCTAATTTTTCTTTCAAAACGGATTTAAATTCAAACATTTTCCCATATTCAAATTTCAAACTCTTCAGGAATTTATTTCTGACTTGAAAACGATTCTTTGCAAGTTTTTTCTTGCAATTTCTGCTACCGACTGACTCAAAGTGACCACACGAGTCCATTTTTGGATTTCTCTGCTCAATTTCTCATTGAAAAAAGTGTTCGCAATGATTGAGATGTTGAGGAGGGAAATGATGGGAAAAAAAAGAGAAAAATGACTGTGAAGAGCCTTTCCGTTTTCTATTTACCCTCTGTATTTTCCCGTCTTTGGTCTTAACTGTTCTTTTCCTTTACAAAAAAAAAAGAAAATCGCCTCACGTACGTATCGAAAGCATTTTTCCTCATAAAACGCCTACATTTGCTTTTGACTTTTTTCGGACATTCAAAAGGATCACTTTACTTTTTGACCATTTATGGAGATGACATTTGAGGAGTCTGAAGGGTTTTCATCGGGTTTTTATCGTTTTCATCGGGTTTTCATCGGGTTTTCATCGAGTTTTCATCGAGTTTTTATCGTTTCTTTGATAGATTTTCGTTGAGAATCTAAAATTAGTATTAAAAATCTGAATCTATTCAACAATTAATCAATGCAAATCTAAGTTTACACTGTCAAACCGTTAAATTTTTGAGTTTTTGTTCTAGATAGCCAATGTTTGGTTTGTTAGAACAAAAGTTGAGAGGAAATTTGGCACTTCTGACATAAAATCTTGCTTTTTTCAAGTGTAAATTGGTCAATTAAACGTAAATTTTGTTGATTTTTGTGCAATTGAGTGCAAATCAAAGAGTAACTGTAAGAATAGCTAACTGTACGGTACATTGTACTGTACCGGACGGTAAACTGTACATTTACTCACAATTCATTGCTTTAGACAAAAAAAGTTGAGAAAAATTCTCCGGAAAACACAAATCCGAGTCGATTCCCCATAAGCTGCTTTGGAGAGGCATGTTTTTGATAGTTTTCCGGGGATTTCCGAGAGATTTTACGAAAAATATGGTGACTCAATGGGATTTTGTTTATAAAAATGCTTTCATATTACGGAAAATAGTGATTTTAGTTGCTTTGATAGCAAAAAAATCATTAAAACCAGTCATGAATGAGTGTCGTTTCTGAAAATTCTTTACTTCGGCTTTAAAGGTAATCAAAGTTGTTCTTTTGACTCAACATTTCATGAAAATCTCAAATCTTTGCTTTAAAATCTTTAGAAAACAGTTTTCTTTCTATTTATTGAATATTTTCCAATTCACTGCTGCCCCATTCATTTCGATTTTCTTCTCTGTTTTGATGGTTCTCACGGTTTTGATGGTTTTGATGGGTTTTTTGCGAATTAACGGTGACTCAATTTGTCCCTTTATTCTTTGTATGAAGGTGTTTTGCTCATTCATGGGTATTTTTGCGTTCAATTCTTGAATCTAGAGCTCAAAGTGATTTTGTGAAATTGTCTGAAACGAACAGCATTTAGCATTTCTAACTTTCAGATCGAACTTTAGTCTAATCTTGCCTTACAAGCATTCGACCTAGGCTGACCTATTCGCCTTATGAGTTGGAGAATCCCCAGTTCAGGAACAGTTGAACAAATGTGACATTTGACTCCAATTCTCAGTCACAAATGTACATTTGACACCAATTCTCAGTCACAAATGTGACATTTGACTCCAATTCTCGGTCACAAATGTACATTTGACTCCAATTCTCAGTCACTTCAAATTTATGTTAACTCCAAATATGTTGCTTTTCCCTCTATTCGTAATATTCACTCACATTCAGAAGCGGAATCAATGTGGCTTTCCTTTTTGATTTGTCTCTCAATGAAAAGCAATCAATTCAAACGAAAAGAGATTAGAAAAGAGAAGAAGAATGATAGGCATTTTGTCTAGAAATCGACTCATTTTTTAGAGATTTTCGGGAACTCAGTAGTCATTTTGAAATTTTTCTAAAAAAGACCAAATTACATGGTTTTACACATTTTTCTTTTGGGCAAGTCCTCATTTTGACCTTTCTCTTTTTTTGAAAAGTGCAAAACATTTGTTGCTCTTGAACTTTCCAAGTACACAAAAAGAAATCGACATTTCTTTTATGAAAAACAACCCGACAATCATTTCTCGTTACCCTTTTGATCTATATTCATAACATCTAATAAGAAAAACGAGTTGATAACCGATTCGAGATTCGAAAACGAAGAAAGGAAAAAAGAAAACACTCTCTTTGTTTTCAAGATAAAACATACCTAGATTTCCTTATTTTACACTCGCAAAACTAAAATTTCGAGAATTTCGAGAATCAGGAATTACAGGAATTTCGCGGGAAGTTTCTATCAAATTATCCTGAATCAATTGATCTTCAGCTATCAATTTATTCTGATTTAGTCTTTCTAAATAAATATTTTATCTCTATTTTTACAAAACTTTGATAAGTTGATAAAGAAAATTTGAGTGTAGAATGATAAAAATTAAGCGTAAATACTGTAATATTAGGTTGATGCAAAAGTCTTTTTCATTTTTTTCGTACTTCCGTTAAAAAGTAACAAATGCACCAATTGAACAACGGTTTATTGCATTCGAAAGGCCAATTATTTTTCTGCAAAATGACATTAAAATGAGTTTAAAATGTCTTATGTCTAGATTTTTTTGAGAGCCTGAAGTCGGGTAGTCAAAAAAGGCGACGGCTCGATGATGCATTTTAGACGCTTTAGCTAAGGAAACCAATCTTGATGTTAATAAATAAAAGATAGAGCACAAAAAGTTAGATATTTTTTCAGATTTTCAGAGAAATTGATTCAGCCAATTTCTTTATAGAGGTTTTTATAGATTTTTATGAAAAACCCGTTTTCACTCTCGAATTTGCTTGAAAGTGAACCCAAATTGACTTAAAAAAATGGGAAATTGAACAATAAACACTTTTCATTTTCTCGAATTTGCTTGAAAGTGAACCCAAATTGACTTAAAAAGATGGGAAATTGAACAATAAACACTTTTCATTTAGAGCAAACCAAAGGTTAATTGATGACTTTGTTATTTTTCAAAAGAAGTACGAAAAAAATGAAAAAGACTTTTGCATCAACCTAATAGTACCCCACCCCCATAATGACGGTGCGGAGTGTTGCGTAGTCTAGCTTTGGACGCGTTTTTCTCGACACTGGTTTATGCTACAACGCGCGCTTAGGTATCAAAAAATAGCTGAAGTTCAGGGCTATTTTTTGATACCAAAGACGCATTTTTTGAAAGTACGGGCGCTTTGAAAAAAAATGAAATGCTAGAAAACTTTTGCGACTACCTGAATGTACAAGGGGGGTGGGGTACTATTACAGTATTTACGGTAAGCGTAAAATGTATTGAAATAAGGATTGCACATTTCTCGATAAATTCTTGGAAATTCCCGACTCGGGAATGTCTCGATATTTATTTTTCCTGGTTTGCACTTAAATTCAATCTCAAAGTTCAACTTTAGCTTGATCTCATTCACAAAACTGAAAGAAATGCTCATTCTAAAAGCTTAGAGCTCATTCTAAAAGCTTAGAGCTCATTCTAAAAGCTTAGACATACAAAAAGTAAAATCATATTCTGTATTACCCACAAAGCTCACTCTGTTTGCATTGGCCTGGTGCCTAATGCCTAATAAGCAAGGTAGTCATGCTTGGAAAAAGGTTTTGGTACCCTGCCAGATTCTGACTTTCGCAGCTTCATCACAGCGTATCCTATTATTTCTTTGTGTCCCCCCCCATTTCTCTCCTTTCAAATATGCCCATTGCCTGGTTGCCTAGCTGCCTCTTTCCACCTTCTCCGCTTTCCCTTGTTGGATCCGACCCCATCCCCATCTTCAGCCCTCCTCAGCCTTTTGGCCTCAACAAAATCCCCTCTTTTCCCTTTCTCCTTTATCGAGAGTGGGGGCTGGAATTGCCCCTATTCGTGCCCCCTATTTTTCTCTATTTTCCCCCTTTTCCTTTCCTCCTCATCCACATCCATCTATTCTCCAGCTTTTTTTCCTTGACTTTCTCCTTTCTTATGAGTTATTAATGTAACTTCTAAGTTAGTAGAGTACATTTGATTACCTCAAATTCATAAGTGAAATTCTAATTCAAAACCTTTGCTTTCTTAGACTCAACAAGAAACTCTTTCCACCTATCTTTTGACTCCAACATCACCAACCACTTGCTCAATCCTTGTCTGAACTCCTTTTTCTGAACTCCCTTTTCTTCGAATTTCACTCAATGAAAAACCATCAAGACCAATAAATGTTCTTCTTTCCATAAACAAATGTCATGAATATAAACCTTTTATGTAAATCTTAAATATTAAGCTTGTAGCTTGCTATCTTTTGACTTCAACATCACCAACCACTTGCTCAATCCGTGTCTGAACTTCATTCTTCTGTATTCTCTTTTCAAGCTGGCTTGAACTGTCAGCTTCTCTGTAGAATAATACTGAAAATCTGCAGTATTTCCACTATAGTACAGATTTATAAAAACTTGATACTTATAAATGTATACATTCTTAGTATCACTTTGCAGCTTTCACTTTCACTCCTTTCACTTTTTCATTAGAATCAGACCTCATCGTTCCCTTTTTTTTTTCATTCTCGATTTTTTCATCAATTCCATTAGTTTCCTCATTTTCTTCTCTTCTTCTTGATGCTCTTTTTGTGATTATTTTTTCAAGAGCTTTCTTTTCTCATTTTTCTCTTTCCACCCTCACTTTGTGGGGTAAACAGGGGACCCCATGGCCCCCAAACGGGAACGCTCACTCCTTCTTTTGAAATCCGCTATAGCTGGACTTTTTTTTAAGGAGTTTTGTTATTTCTTTACTATCGAGATGCGAAAAAGATTGTTGACAAGATTTTTTTAATTATAGAGAGTTGATTTTGTAATTTTGAACCATTCATTTAAAGCTTATTACTTTTGGATTTTGGCCATCTGTTTTGGAATTCTCAAATTATCCAAATGGAAACTTTTGCCAGATTAAACTCAACTAACCATTTCAGCTATTCAATCGTCACCTCATTTTCTTTTCCAGAGACAATCTTCTCACCATCAACATCCTCCCGGAGGAGCGGCTCGTTTAAATCTGGGCGGTTCTCGGATTTCACTGAATGAAACAAGAGAAAGAGATCGTGAAAGAGAAAAAGAAAGAGATCAAAGAGTGAATTATCATATTAGTCAACAAGGATTATATCAACAAGGATACCAACAACAGCCGACACAATCCTATCAACAGAATCAGTACACTGATCCGGGCTTTAGAAAGGTTCGTTTGGTTTAAATAGGCAAAAATTCTTTAATTCTTTAACAAAAAGAGCTTTTGAAGAACTAAATTCGATCATTTGTAAAACTCTTTTCCATAAGCAGACCAACCATTCTGTAGTAGGCCAACAATGCTAAATTCGGACTAACAATCCTTTAAAATCAAATCTTTCAGAAATCCTACCCAAACCTACCGGAGCCATCGACACGAGAAATCCCCCGTGAAGCCATCCGTCCATCCCCGTCCATCCCTCTCTCCGTTCAATCGTCAACCCAACAAAACAACTACAATTATTCCCGGGAGTACACCCAAACACTCCCGCCATCAACGCGACAACCCGAGTATTACAAAGAGGGAAACTCGACTTTTTACAACGAGGACCCTGATTATAAAGTAAGTTATAACTCGGCTGTTTCATGGCCACCATAGCCGACTGGCCCAACTGTTTTCCTTATTATTAATTCTGATTTGACGCTACAACCGATGGCCGTCATCGCCAACTGGTTAAGAGTCCTGTATATTAGGCGGGAGGTCGACGGTCAACGGCTATCCCGCCGGCTAGATTATTGGTTCTTTTTTCCCTAAATTTAAGGCTCAGGGATTGTGCTTGTGCATTGTTTGTACCACATTATTTGTGTAAATAGACGTATCCTTTAAATTCTCATCTCTAGATGCCCCCACCCCTGCAGCTGGGTTTGCCGAATTTGGGCAACACTTGCTACATGAATGCCGTTGTTCAAGCGCTGGCCGCCTCGGAGAGTCTCGCGAATTTCTTTCTCAATTCGGGGCACACGAAAACGATGCAGGTAAAAGCGATTGATCAAGTTTTTGAGCTAAAAGTGAACTGACTCAAGAATTCGAAACAGCACAATCGTAAGAATTTGATTTGATTTGATGAAATTGTAAAAATTCAACTCTCAGGACCGAACTCGTCAACAAGAGCTGAACTCACAACTTCACGGCAGCAATGGAGCTGTGACGAAAGCGTTTGCCACATTGATCAACAAACTCTACAATAACAAATGCTTGGAGCAAGATGTGAGGGATTTTCGAGCGGTTGTCGGCGACTATTCACCCGATTACAAGACCTACAATCAACAGGTGAATTTTTGATGAATCTGAATAAGTATAGCTAAATAAATAAAATTCAAAGGTTATTTTCAGGATGCTCAAGAATTTTTGAATTGGTTGTTGGACAAAGTGCACGAGGATTTGAATTTGGCGAAAAGGGATGATAACTACAATTATTCGGTTCGTTTTTGGTTTGAAATGTTTGGAATTTATTTGGAATTTACTTGAAATTAAGTCACAAAAAGGTAGTAACAATAAATTTTCAGAAAAACGGCGAAGCTTTCTCTCCGGACGATGCGTTGGCTGAGAGAAGGCTGGCTCATTATTCGGTGATCACAAATCTCTTCGAGGGACAGTTGAGGTGCACTTTTGTAAAGAAATATGTTGAAATACTGTAGTTGATCTAATCAAGTAGATTTTTTACAAATTTGATAATCTTTCTGTACATTCAATGGATCAAGTACTAATAGTTGCTTCATAGTTTTGGAAAGAATAAAGGGTTTAACGGTACCAGCCTGTCAAGTTATATTCTGGTATTAGTCTAACGATAGACTATGGATTTATCATCGTATTGATCTTGTTTAATATCTTATTTAAAACCTCAACTTCAGATCTTCAATCGTTTGCCAATCGTGTCACTTTCAAAAGTTCAACTTTGAGCCCTACATGTATGTGCCGTTGCCGATTCCGCATGAGTGAGTTGTTGGGGAGAAGAGATTGATTGAATTAATTGAGGGATTAGTTTTCCTTTACAAAACTAATGCCAGCTAATTACTGGGTAGGTACACAAGTGTAGCAAAAAAAATACCGGAGCCATCGATACGAGAAATCCCCCGATGAAGCCATCCGTCCATCCCTCTCTCTGTTCAATCGTCAACCCAACAAAACAACTACAATTATTCCCGAGAGTACACCCAAACACTCCCGCCATCAACGCGACAACCCGAGTATTACAGAGAGGGAAATTCGATTGAATTAATTGAGGGATTAGTTTTACTTTACAAAACTAATGCCAACTAATTACGGGGTAGGTACACAAGTGTAGCAAGAAAATTGGTGAAGTCTTCACTGCTACAAGAGTAGATCTTTGTTATTTCGAACTGAATCCTGAAGCAGATATTTCAAATTTTTGAACTATGAAAGAATTTGCCGAAAAATATAGAAAAATTAACTTGAAAACCTATTCAAATAAGTTCAGTTGAATATTTTCATTTTCAGTATCAATCAAAAACGACCGCTTTTTGTCTCTGTCGTGAAACCGGGGCAATTCTCAATGACAAAATATGGAATTCGTGTCGATGCGAAAGGAGCGATTTCTGACGTGAAATCGTGTCTAGCTGAGGAGACAAAAGTCCCGTTGAGTCAGGTAGGATCAAGAAAATTTACTGTAATTGTTAGAAAACAGTCATTATTAACGTTTTGAGTGAATATTATTTTAGATGTTGATCCTACAACTATCGCCGAATGGTTTCCGAAGTAACACCCTGGAAGTGTGCCAGGTTTTTTTTAAAAACATACAGCTTGAATAGTATTTTGAATATGCCTTATGTATATCTTTTTAGATAGCAACAATGTCAACGCGAGAAGCTTACGCGGTCGAGCTACAGCCAACCATCGACACTTACAACGATCAAACAGTGAATGTCGTCTTTGTGATCACCGTCAAGAATGGGCCACAAGTGAAAAGGTTGGTGATGTGGTCGATTTACAAGATTAGTTTGCAATTAAACCACTGAACGAACCAACATCAAGTATTGATTCCACAAGAACATATTAGTATCCTAACTACGACACAAAAAAAACACACCAGTAGAACAATCGCCTAACTGTTTTCCTTATTATTAGTTCTGATTTGACGCCAAGACCGATGCTCGCCATGGCCAGCTGGTGCAGAGCCCTGTATCTTAGTCGAAAGGTTAAGGGTTCAATCCCGCCAGCTAGATTATTACCGTAAATGCTGTAATAGTACCCCACCCCCTTGACGGTGCAGTTAGTTGCAAGTAGTCTAGCATTTCACTTTTTCTCGACACTGGTTTATGCTACAATGCGCGCTTAGTTATCAAAAAATAGCTGAAATTCAGGGTTATTTTTTGATACCTAAGCGCGCGTTGTAGCATAAACCAGTGTCGAGAAAAACTCGAGGCCAAAGCTAGACTACGCAACACTCCGCACCGTCATTATGAGGGTCGGGTACTATTACAGTATTTACGGTAGTTCTTTTTTTCCCATTTCTGGGCTTTCTTCTCTAAATTTAGGGCTCAGAGGTTGTGCTTTTGTATTGTTTGTACCACATTATTCGTGTCAATAAATCTTTCACATAAATTCCCCCGCGTTTTAGAGAAACCGATCCATTTGTGTTGGCCGTCTCGCGGCAGTGGAACTATGATAATTTATCGCGGAAACTTTTCGAGGCGGCGAGACAATCGGTGAATCCAAAAGTGTTGGAGTCGTTGCCCGTCGGACAATACAAATTGGCTTTGGTAAGTTTATCTCGTAAATTTCAACCTTGTTACGGCCTTTTTCAGATTGATACCTTCAACCCGAGCACCTATTTGGACCCGAATGTGTCGATGCCATTGTTGACACAGGTGAGACTTTCAAAAAAGTGTTTTGTAAGCATTGTTGACTTTCAAATGAGTTTGCTGTTTAGCATGTCGATCAGTGCATTCAACACAACGATCGAGATCATCCGAGATTACCAAAATTTATTCGGATAACTGTCGAATTCCCACAACACAACAGGTATGAGAAAGGGATTTGAACGAGACAGAGCCTTTTAAGACAGAGCCTATTTTAAGCCTAGCAAAGTTTTAGATCACTGATTCGAGTGGATCTGGATCGTATCATCAACCATCGAAGTGCTGATTGTTTGGCAAAAGACAACGCTCCGTACGAGTTGACACTGCAATCATGTTTGAGTGTAAGTCTAGGGTATTTTTGCGATATTTTTAAGTGAAAAAGACATTTATCTAGTCGATAGTCATTTCTATTTTTAGGCTTACACCTCTGAAGAAATCCTTGAGTGGCGTTGTGAGCGATGTACGGGAAAAAAGGCCAACAAACAACTCAAGTTCAACTCTTGCCCACAAATCTTGATTCTTCACTTGAAACGATTCAGACACATTCAGAATGAAGTGAGAAAATCGAAAATTCAGATAAATCCCAGCTTTCCAGATCACTGAACCGATCAAAGTGGATGTTTCGGTGAAATTCCCGATTGAGGGACTGGATATGTCGCCGTTTGTCTCACCGTCAAATCCGCAAAATGGCAAACGGCACAGTATTATTGGGAAAAAGTTCAACAAGTTGGTTTTTTGTAAAATTCTTGAATTTCAATAGCATTTTCTAATCGAAGTTGAAAATAAGTTCAACTTTTCAGAGAAATGCAAGCAACAGTGTCCCATTCTTCCCCCGATGACAATATCTATGATCTCTTTGCCGTCGTCAATCATAAAGGTTTAAAAAGAGAAAATCTTAACTCTATTGAATTGCAAAACTTTCTTTATCGATATTTGTATTTCAAAATTATTTCAGGAGATCGAGTTTCATCTGGCCACTACACTGCCACAGTGAAAAACCCAACAGATGGCGTTTGGAGGACTTTCGATGACACTTTTGTCTCACAGAATACGAATCCAACAGAGCAATCGGAGAACGCTTACTTGATGTTTTATGAGAGGTGAGTGGATGTCTGAAGGCTTTATTTGAATTCTTTTTTACAACAGTATAGAACAGTATCGAATTGGATCTGATTCAATTCGGATCTGATCGGTTCTGATTCAATTCAGATCGAATTGGTTCTGATTCAATTCGAATCCAATCGGTTCTGATTCAATTCGGATCTAATCGGTTCTGCTTCAATTCCGATCCAATCGCATCGGATTCAATTATTTGATTCAATTCACATCTGATCGGATCTGATTTCATTCGATTCAAATCCGATCGGATTTGCATCAATTCGGATATGCCAAAACAAGAATAAACTGATAGTATTGAGGAATGCGAGCAAACGTAACAATATCTTTTATAATATCTTGAAACTAGTGTCGGTATGCTGTATTTTTAAATCTTTAAAATAGATTTAGACAGATAAGAACAATATCTAAGTAAGCTTAACAAAAACTGAACCATTTCCAGACGATCTTGTCGAGCCGAGCGTCAAAACTCCAAGAAAGCGTCAGAAGGGCGAAAATTGCCAAATCCTTTGGCCAGGTTTGTATCAAAGCATTAAACTCTTAT